TGTGGAATTTCACAGGGTTTTTGAAGTGATGTCAAAACCTCAATAAATATCAATGCCAGTTTGGATTTGAAAATTCAGAAAAGTCATTTTGTTTTAAATCAAGAAACGAGCCGCTATAACCAATTCGGTGCTCCCGAAGTATGCGAACCAAGATGGCGGACTTCGGAACGTAACATGGGTAACAGGTTAGGGTTAGGCGATAATTTTTTTCCAATTTTCCTTATTTTAGTCATATTATCAGTTCGAAGACTAGCCAGGAGCCTCCCGTAGTATTTATACCTAAAATTATGGCCTAACCCTAACCTAGTACACATAATACATTCCGATGTCCGCCATCTTGGTTCGCATACTTCGGGAGCCCCACCAATTCAGTGAGAAATTCCGCTTTGCCTCTAAGCTAGTAAAATTTCACGCCATGGATCAAATTATGAAATGCAGATTTGCAAATGTTTATACCATCATTAATATTTTGTACAATTTCAGTGCGATACGGATATTTCTTAACATTTCCTATTCTTTTTTCTGCGTTTGTTTATTGTATTCAATAGCGATTGTTTATTGGGAGACACATTGCGCCGATTTTAGAAGAAAGATGTATTGGACAAAAAGTGTACCTATGGATCGTTTTGTTATTATGTTGTTGTTGTTCTTGGTATCATTATTAGTCATTATTTTCTCCTTGTTGTTGCAAAAAAGTCGCTTTTCTCATTAACTACTGGACCAATTTCTTTGAAATTTTTAGTGGTCAAGATTGTTGTTGTCGCTAGAGGGCCATTACTTTTATTTATTTTACAACGTCCTGTGGGTTTCGTTATTATACCTGATGTTTTGTATAGTGACGTCAACAAAAGTAAATATAAAAATCAATTGTACCAGTTCTGCCGTCGCGAGTCAGCAGCTTTCGAAAGTCGGAAGCTTTTCCACGAGGTAGACTACGGTACCGATAATACAGCGGTGAATCGGATCTTACGGTATTTCAATTCACGTTGTGATGTGATGTGAGGGACGGATTGCTCCGTCATCTAGTCTACAGCACCTTTTTAAAAATAAGAAAAATAAAAGAAACAAATAAAAAGAGAAGTAACAGTATATCACAATAGAATTAAATAGATTTCCACAAATATAAGGACCAATCCCTTCCTATAATACAACACATGCGTTTCCCAAATCCACCATACAAACATAATATAATACCTTTTATGTAAGCGGCATATTTGCAACAAATAACAGTATAAATACTTTTGTTATCCTCTGCTCTAATATATAGATAAACTCTTATTCTCATTTTTGGTGTGCCATTGCTATATTTGAAATTTGGTGTCCTTATTTTTTGAGGAGGGGTGAGGAGGGATGTTGGAAAAATGCAATGGCATGGTTTCAACAAGATGAAGCAATCGTCCATTGGAATTACCTTAGAGAGAAATGGAAGACTTAAAAATACGCCTACAACATCTATTGCAGCTGTATTAAACCATCTCAAAGACGTTGTTTCCAAAAAGCCGTTCACACAAAATTGCAATTGAATGTCTTGTTAATTAAGTATGTCATAAACATTTAACAAAGGCTACACTCTCTATTTTTTTGAAAATTGAAATGTGGGAGTTATTTTGGCGCTCCAGAAGTGTATGTACCATAATGAAGGTAACTAATTTTGTTCGACTACTTTTACATCAAGTTGTGTGAAGGAACTGAAACCTATAAGCAGGGGTTATATTCACTTGGTTAACACAGACTGTCTCCGAACTCGCGGAACAAAAATAAGGAAAATCGGAATAGAATTATGGCCTAATCCTAACCTGGTACATATACTACGGGAGTACCGTCATTTTTGCTTCATCTTGTATAGTAGCCCTTTGGGTTTAAAATAAATAAAGGCGTAAATGAGCGTTATTTAAAAAATAACATCCCCACTTTTTTTAGGCACACTCTATTTGTCTCCCTAATATATCTCAAAATCGGAAAGACGGCATCGGCAATTGGTGACAGTTGCCTGATTTGTGGAATTGCATATGTATTTGCTTATTGCATCATTGGTGCAATTATCAGAGGACGAGTCAGGCGCCAGCATGACATTGATGGTGGTTGTTTGAGAGATCTCATTGTCAATTTCTTCTGTCCGTTTTGTGCGATTATACAAGAGAAGAGACAAGTTACAGAAGTTTCACCGGGCGCACATGCTATGGCGCGTGTGTGATAATAACTCATATAGAAGAAAATATTTTGTATGAACTAATTTTAGAGACACTAATTAGTATGTAGAACCAATAAAAATAAAACATCAATAAATATATGTCAAAATTTTGTGAATAGTTCTCAAATATTTATCAAGTGCCATTACGTTTTAGATGAAATACTTTCTTTTATTACTTCACATTAACAGGTTTCACATTTGTAGCGACTAAATTTATTTTATTACTGATATGTTTAATTAAATAAATTGAGGGTGACTATTTTTTTATTAACAAGTTAAAAAATTCAAAGTTTTTTTTACACCATTTCAAAATCATTTGGCAAGCAACATATATTTGGATATTCAAAAGAGATATTATCTGAAAATATCATAATTTTCGACGTTTTTGATGCAATTGGCAGATTGTTATATATTGTTCATCAATCTTTTTAAAAGAAAACTAATTATTCATTTTTTTCTACAAATATTTTTGGATATTAAGTTTTTTAATCTTGCAATATAGATCGGCTAATTTTTCATATTTATTTTGCTGTAAGACTTTGAAATGTCAATCTAGTTGGATTCTATAATGTAATTTCTATATTTTAACAGTTTTAAAAGTTTTGGGTATCTATCTTTATGCTATAGTTGTAGTTGAACTTAATTTGAAATATAGTTACAACAATTGGTTTCAAGCGAGGTTTCATTGTTGTTGGCAATCTATGGTGGTTGAATAGACGATTGAAGAATTTGTCTTCCATTTTAAATATCACCCAGTTACGTATATTTTGTCATTGATCTATATTTTGTAGAATATTGATAGGAAAGAAGAAAAAAAAAACGAGGAAACAAGACTAATTTGAGTGTCGAATCCTGTTGCTATGTTACGATTTTGTCAATCATTAAACGATACTGACAAGTCTGCGGCTGATACTTGAGATCGCTACATGACTATTTGAATGTCGGGAAAACCATGTCTAGTTAGTTTAATATTCGCCTATGATTTGACATGAAATAATGATCGAACTTCAAAGTTTTTCTCATCAATTTTATTTACATATAATGTAGCAGGATATTTTCTTATGAACTTTCTAGCCTTGTTAGAAGTGTAGCCTTGACAAAGAAGAATTTTTAGTCGTCGAACTCGGTTGGTTGCCAGTACTTTGGTAATGCTTTTCTTTGCTGCTGTTTAGCTGGAGATTGACTAATGGGAGGTTGAATATTGGATCCGTTTTTTTTTCAAACTCGAACAGCAGTAGCACATTTTTTGCAGCTTAGAAAAGGAGTTTCACACGAACATCCCAGTGAAAAGTGTTGATAAAATCCAGGGATCCATATTTTTGGGAAATAGTCACGTTCGGGTCGAAGTCGAGTCGAGCTGTGAAATTTCACAGGGTTTTTGAAGTGATGTCAAAACCTCAATAAATATCAATGCCAGTTTGGATTTGAAAATTCAGAAAAGTCATTTTGTTTTAAATCAAGAAACGAGCCGCTATAACCAATTCGGTGCTCCCGAAGTATGCGAACCAAGATGGCGGACTTCGGAACGTAACATGGGTAACAGGTTAGGGTTAGGCGATAATTTTTATCCAATTTTCCTTATTTTAGTCATATTATCAGTTCGAAGACTAGCCAGGAGCCTCCCGTAGTATTTATACCTAAAATTATGGCCTAACCCTAACCTAGTACACATAATACATTCCGATGTCCGCCATCTTGGTTCGCATACTTCGGGAGCCCCACCAATTCAGTGAGAAATTCCGCTTTGCCTCTAAGCTAGTAAAATTTCACGCCATGGATCAAATTATGAAATGCAGATTTGCAAATGTTTATACCATCATTAATATTTTGTACAATTTCAGTGCGATACGGATATTTCTTAACATTTCCTATTCTTTTTTCTGCGTTTGTTTATTGTATTCAATAGCGATTGTTTATTGGGAGACACATTGCGCCGATTTTAGAAGAAAGATGTATTGGACAAAAAGTGTACCTATGGATCGTTTTGTTATTATGTTGTTGTTGTTCTTGGTATCATTATTAGTCATTATTTTCTCCTTGTTGTTGCAAAAAAGTCGCTTTTCTCATTAACTACTGGACCAATTTCTTTGAAATTTTTAGTGGTCAAGATTGTTGTTGTCGCTAGAGGGCCATTACTTTTATTTATTTTACAACGTCCTGTGGGTTTCGTTATTATACCTGATGTTTTGTATAGTGACGTCAACAAAAGTAAATATAAAAATCAATTGTACCAGTTCTGCCGTCGCGAGTCAGCAGCTTTCGAAAGTCGGAAGCTTTTCCACGAGGTAGACTACGGTACCGATAATACAGCGGTGAATCGGATCTTACGGTATTTCAATTCACGTTGTGATGTGATGTGAGGGACGGATTGCTCCGTCATCTAGTCTACAGCACCTTTTTAAAAATAAGAAAAATAAAAGAAACAAATAAAAAGAGAAGTAACAGTATATCACAATAGAATTAAATAGATTTCCGGTTGCTCATTGGCGTACACTAGTGGTGACAGTATCAAACCTCTAATATAGCATTATGGGAAATCGACAATTTTAAACCACGTGATTGACAGGGGAAAACCCGAGTCTTGTTAACAAAACAAATTCGAATTTGGCGCGGCGGTGCGGCTCAACGGGCTAAGCGTTAGGAATACGCTCGCTACCGCACCTCTAATTACTCTGCGTGGGTTCGCATCCCATGCAGGGATGGTTATGTGCGAGAGGATTGCTGGACTCATCGCCGTCGTTGGGTGGTTCACGTAACCGCTGGTCGGTTACGGCTTCCTCCACCACCAAGTCCATGCTCCCGAAAACAAACAATATCTAATACCATACCCGACTTGGAATTGTACGGTAACCGGACGAGAGGCCGTGATTCGCCATATGGATAAGCCGTCTTATCGGCTTTCCTCTCCCCCTGGATAAATATGTAAATGCTAATCCGAAGTAAATCTTTGAACTTGGTAAGATCCTCTACTGGCTGATCTGGTGTTATGGTCGTGTACTGATGACTGAGTCGTGAAGTAACCCTGAAAAGCTCTAGGCAACATATCATGAGTGAATTGATACATGATTTTGGCTATCTGGCGATTTAAAGTTTGGAATTGTTCGTTGATAAATACCGTGTGGCGCGACACCCCAAGCAGTTAGTTCATGTCAATATGATCATGAAAACAGTTATGAGGTATTGAATTCCGCATGACTGGAGTTTTCGGGAAAAAACTTTGGGCATAACATTGTTTGTCTGGGAAGTGCACTGACAGTGGAACGGCGAAAAACTTTAAATGCAGAAACAAATACCGAAAGTTAAGAAGAACACGATTCATTATAAATAATATATATATGTAAAATAAGAATGGACTCACGAGACATGTAGCCTACAGATACAGGTAGCAATGCTGTTAGCGGGTTTGCGACGTAAAATAAAATTAATCTGTTGCAACAGAGAAAAATTAATTAGCGGATTAGTTTGTTTAGTCAAATTATTCTTCATTCTGATGTTGAATGAGCCAAATTTCATCTATTGTGACGATTGCACATATTTTCTGAAAGCCGGTAATAACTTATATCGCGGGCTACGTAACGCCATGCGCATTAAAATTAATTTTGAGCCAAGTATTGTGGCTCCGCTCCAAGTTTTCACTGAGCCCTGCAATTCTCTATGTCCCATTTGGGGTGAAATATCAAGCCCCAAAGACTTCTTAGAAAAAGTGTAATTAAATTTACAGAATAACCTATCTGCGTATCTCACACCAAATATTTTCGAGAATATTCGACCATGGGCCGGTCTTGAATTTATTATGAACCATCGAAATTCAGCAGTTAGTATAAACCATGCGCAATGTTGACTTTTTGACTGGAATACGAAAAATAGGTTTATTTTCCAATTTATCATTGAGTCACATGGTCAAAACCATGAGTTGGCATATGCCGTTCTTCATACAGTATACAGAGGCCCAGGATGTCACTAAGTCAACGTTTTAGCGATTATAAGTTGCACGTCATTTGGTGGTTTCATTCCCGAAAACACTTTTTGCCCTGTGACGGGGTCAAGATAGTTTTTCAATTCAATGTGTCTGATTACTTCAAATCCGTCCATTTTCGAAGGTTCTTTCAGAGCTTTATTATATGTTTGAAATCGTACAAGTTTCTCAATTCCCCTTTGTTTGGCAAGAACTGTAGATCTAAATTTCAAGAAAATAGTAAAGTTTTAATATCGATATGATGATAATAAGTTCAAAAAAAGTTGTATCACTATAAATACATTTACTGATCTTACCTTTTAATAAGTTCAGGCATTAGTCCTTTCCTTCTGTACCTTGGATGCACAGTTCCCATTTTCATCTCCCAAAATTGTTTGGTTCCAAGAATATCAGATAATTCATTTCCTCCGATTGCCACCATGAGCTTTACACATATAAACAGAATTATTGTGTATTAAATTAAGGGGCAATATCGGGAAAAGAAGATTCAAAGTAAATTAAAGTCAAAAATATATTGTCTACCCGATGTATAGTAGTTGTCTTTTCACTGATATGTAGTGCTTTATCATATTTTATCCTTTCATTATCGTCGTGTTTCACATTGATGACAACTCCACATAATTCAGCATCTTTATCGCTAAATGCCCCGAGTGAGTTTCCTTGCCCTAAGAAAGACTGAAATAAAATAGAGTACTATAAACACATAAATGCACTCAATGTTCTTCAGATGAAAATATTTATGAGCTCAATTTCTTGAACTGATTTGGTTTCTTGAACTTAATTCCAGTTATTTTATTTTACATATGCTGGGATTAACAATGTATGCGTAAAATTATTAATATCTTTTAATCAGTATATATTTCATGAATCTAGATTAAACAAAATCCCTATTTTATGATCAGGTTCCTCTACTTTGTGACTAATCGGGAGAACGGTATAAATTTGTAATGCTGAATTTGGTCTAAATTTCTAGACTTTAACAGCATTCCCGATGGAACAAAATGTCTAGTCCAGTCTGCAGTGAGTACACGAAGATCGTTCAAGTAGGTTATATTATATATATATGGAATATATAGAACACAAATATAAGGACCAATCCTTTTCCTATAATACAACACATGCGTTTCCCAAATCCCCCATACAAACATAATATAATACCTTTTATGTAAGCTGCATATTTGCCACAAATAACAGTATAAATACTTTTGTTATTTTCTGCTCTAATATATAGATAAACTCTTATTCTCATTTTTGGTGTGCCATTGCTATATTTGAAATTTGGTGTCCTTATTTTTTGAGGAGGGGTGAGGAGGGATGTTGGAAAAATGCAATGGCATGGTTTCAACAAGATGAAGCAATCGTACATTGGAAATACCTTAGAGAGAAATGGAAGACCTAAAAATACGCTTACAACATCTATTGCAGCTGTATTGGACCATCTCAAAGACGTTGTTTTTAAAAAAGCGGTTCACACAAAATTGCAATTGAATGTCTTGTTAATTAATTACGTATGTAATAAACATTTAACAAAAGCTACACTCTCTATTTTTTTTGAAAATTGAAATGTGGGAGTTATTTTGGCGCTCCAGAAGTGTATGTACCATAATGAAAGCAACTAATTCTGTTTGACTACTTTTACATCAAGTTGTGTGAAGGAACTGAAACCTATGAGCAGGGGGTATATTCACTTGGTTAACACAGGCTATCTCCGAACTCGCGATGGAACCAAAATAAGGAAAATCGGAATAGAATTATGGCCTAACCTGGTACATATACTACGTGAGTACCGTTATTTTTGCGTCATCTTGTATAGTAGCCCTTTGGGTTAAAAATAAATAAAGGCGTAAATGAGCGTTATATAAAAAATAACATCCGCACTTTTTCCAAGCTCACTCCATTTATCTCCCTAATATATTTCAAAATCTGTTGTACATAATCACTACTCAGGACAGTTGAGTTGATTCATATGTCTGCATATTAAATAATTTTAGTAAGCACACACCTCTATCAGGGAATAATATGTAGGAATCAAGTCTTCTTTAGTCCAATTTAAATATACTCCCAATGAGAATGTAGATGTGAAATGTTCTTCGATCAAATTCCTGACAGCGCATAAATGTTTGACGCTTAGAATTTTGTAAGTGAGATTTGTTATTGACGCCATAATATAGATATTGATTTAATATAAAGTAGATGAATAAAAAATTGCTAAAATTGCGATAAAACCAATAATATAATAGTCTCTGTCTAATATAATATGCATATTATATAATGAATATCAAATAAGGTAATTTTCAATATTGATATCATATAACAACTTTCTCAAGCTGATCTTACAGTCACCCTGACAAAACATAACTGCATCCTAATTCTCGTTGAAAAGGCCAAGAACACTTGCAATATATCAGCTTAGGCATACCACTGAGTACGTATATTGCACAACCCCTGTCTTATGTAAAAGGTAATATTTGCCTGCTCCTGATAAATTTAATTTGTGGTCGGCTAGCAAGTACGGTACCGGTACCGTACACTTGTAAACTGGGGTCTCATGTACTTTCTTACCTGAATAACTTCTAGTGGGCGTGGCGTAACAATTTTTGGATATATGATTCCTGACCCCCACTTGATGACGCCATCCAAAAATTACGTCACTGCGACGTCACAATACCGAAATACAGCTTGCCAAAGTATAGCGACGGTCACCCGTAACGGCGCCTACAAGTATGTCAACAAACTCAAGACTTATCGTGGTCGTTGGGCAGAGCTCAAAATAAACAAGGATCACGAGCGACTAAATTGTCGCCAAAGAACGTTCACGATATCCCATTCTGACCAATTTCTGTCCAGCAATAGCTCATGTATCATGCTACAATCTAATAGAGCGTTATACGATACAACTCTAACCAAAGTACATTTTGTTATCAATTATGATTTTTGCATGTATATTATTTAATTTTAACGATCCTTCATATAGTCATATATATATAGATACTGTTGATTTGGATGCAATTATACTTTTGTAATCAATAGTGAGATATAGAATTTGAACAAGGGTCGCAGCCAGGATTTTTCCAACGGGGGTGGGGGGCATACGGTGAAATTAAACAGTGCGCCAAAAGTTCAATTCAGGACGGCGTGTAATAAATTAAAAACAATGCGTCGTTCACGGCGAAATTCCACAGTCACGTGTAGCTCGCCTCTGTTTTTTTGACGGTGTTTGGTGAATCTATACAAAAACACGCTCGCGTGTAGCGCGATCGAATCATGAAACGTGGAAATTGTACTTGGAATTTAATGCTAACAAAGTTGATTTTTTTGGTCATTTATTGATTTTTTACATGCGCTGTGATTAGTGGTGGGCAAACCGTATTTTTTTTATATAAAATTATTCGAATATTTTAACGAACATCGGCGAAGCTAAGAAATGTAATCACAACAAAAATTAATTTTATTCTGATTTTTATCTTCTGTGTTGGATTTGTATCACAGTTACGGTTTCAATTTTGAGCAAACAATATTATTATTACTGACCCCGGGATGCGATATTTGTGAAGCTGATAGTTGACATTTTCAAGTTTTAATTTTATATCGTTTCCGTGTTACTTTCATATTAAATAATAATTAAAAAACTCCGCAAATTGGTAATCTCTAGAATACTCAGTGTCGAGTATTCACGTAACTCAGCTTTGGTTTAAAACACTGATACTTAACAGTGAATAAATCAGCAATAATGGCATTTCTACGTGCTCAAAATATTATTTCTCCGCAATATCTCGGGAAATTTGCATAGAATACATTATTCACATGCCTTGCTTATCTTATTCAACGTTTCTAAATTTACAAAACGATGTTGACGCGATTTACGCAAAATTAGAAATTGAAAAATATGATGGCGCAAAAATGACACGAAATAAAAAATTCTCACATTCATCGTTTCTGTCTGTTGGCGATAGCCGTCGGTAAATTTTACGTAACTCGTTGTACATTTATGTTAATAAATTCTATTTTGCTATTCAATGCGCCCTGCTTTGTATTAAAATAAAAGAAATCGGGAAGAGAATGTCCTGAAATTAGCTCATAACCCTTCTTTCATTTCGAACGGCCATAATGGCAGTTACATACGCGTTACTGAATAACAATCAATAATCACGCATTCTTGTTTGTCATTATCAGCGCCAACTAAAAAAATAACATATCGTAAAGATAAAAAGTATGGCGGTGTTAATTGCGCTGCGGTGATAGTACGCAGAATAATATCGTTCTGACGAAACCATAATGCGCGACCGTAAAATGACGATGCTGCTTTTTTGTGGAATGAGTTTCGCATGAAAATTTTTTCTCAAACCAAAGGGGGGGGGGGGGGGGGGGGTTAAGACCAGTGATGGGATTTAGCCCGTTCACGGAATTGATCAGCGAATCGGTCAGCATTGCTAAAAAAAACATGTAACAGAACCGGCCGAAAACTATGACTTTTGTGATGGAACCAGCTGACAAAAAATTTGAATTCCACCACTCGTTTTGAGTTACGACCCATGTAAAGGAGGGGGACGTATTTACTCATGTGGAGAGGAAAGCCGATAAGCCGATTTCCTGCTATTCTTCTAATTTTTGTTTTCGTTTTTATTGTCAAGATATCCCAGACTGCCAGAGTGATTTGAAATCGGAGAGCCCTGGGGCTTTGTATGGAGCGCGTCATAAACTATGATTGCGAGAAGCCGTGGTCCGCCATATATTTAGGACTTCTTATCCCTATCCTTTCCCATGGATAAATATGTACCTAAATCCCATTCTATAATCAGAAATAACCGCACTTGACTTCCTATTCTGTGCTATAGCTAATAGATATGCATTCCCAATAAGCATATGCTTATAGTTAGTATGCTTTCAACGTACCATACTTCGAAACCCAAAACCGAACACGAATCGAAAAATTAAAAGCCTCAATACGGCCAATTTCGCAACCGGCAAGGCCGAAGCAAGGGATTTTTGCGGCAAGCGATATGCTTTCTCCATATGCCAAGAACCATTTAGCTGGACGACGTAAAAAATGCAGGGTACAATGGATTAATGAGCAAATATTTGGGAGTCCCCACTCATTGTATATATGCTCATTGAGCTATCTCTTTGCCCTAAACATATTATCACGATCATTTTTTCCCAACAAAACTGCGTGGTACACAAAGATAAATGAAATAATTGCCAAGATTATAGGATTTAGTACATTCCCATTCCATTTATTGGGTAAAAGCTAAATGCGTGAGCTTTGATCTTTGCAATATATGCACCACATTCGATTTATGATTAATGTTGAGTCAAGAAGTATTTGAGTTTATAATTTATTTTACAACCACACTTGATCATACGATTTTCGATCAATATTGAAACAAGGAGTATTTGAGTTGGTAATTTATTTGACAGTGATTGAGTTCAATATGCGAGGTTTGTGGGATCAGTACGCGCAGGGTATGGCTTTCCTCTGCGGCTCCGCGGTATTGGGTGTCACGGAAGCCGTGCCCCCGAATTAAAGTCTTCGGCAATCGACACTTTGGGCCTCTGGAAAATCCCACGTCCCACTGATGTGTACCAATGCATAACACTGCATTCCTTGAGTATACTTTGATTTGAAGATACTTTTTTCAATTCACAGGTCTCAAGGTGTAATTGCATGGATCGAGGGCTAAAATGCAGGCTTAAATACAATAAGTGAGTCCGTGTTAGTGAAAAGTTGGTGTGAAAATAAGAAGACGTGGAAGAACAAAACCAAGAATAACAGACAACGTGAAGGACATCACTGACATTAGCATGGCCGAGTTGCTCAGAATAGCGCAGAACCAGAGTAGAGAGAACCATAGGGCAGTGGTTCTCAACGGCCTATCCGCGGAGCGGTGCCGGTTCGCGGCAACTTTGCTGCCGATCAGCCAAAAATTTTTCCAATATTAATTTATTATAAGCAAATTGCAAAATACAATGTATTGACGTCATGTCCGTTAGTTTTATTATTTTTTTTTAACTCTTATTGATTCGTAGACCGGTATTCGTCTAACAACCAAACTTGGTGAGAGGTCCTCTTCCCATTTCAGACCCTGAACGATTGGATGTTCGTTAAGTCTATGGCCTCATAACGGCGGCTAACGTCCTAACGGAGGAGTTTGATAGCACACAGCTAGGGTTTTGCTTTTTAGTAATTCTAAAAAAACATCCTTTTTTAAAACAAGGGCTTGTTTTTTGTTTTTATTGAGATACCCCTTGCATCGCCGTGAAAGTACGCCAGAACGTTGCGTCCTGGCAGCCGCATAAGCTGCCGGAATTATATTTTCAAAAATGTAAGTGAAAATTCTTGCTTTGACTTTCACTTCTATTGCGTACACCTACCGCCAAATTTGTATCTATACCAAAGTCATATGATTTTAACAGGATATTTATCCGAGATACCAAAGAGACGTTTTGAGTAAGAAAAATCATGAAACTTATTCAATTAATGGCAGCCTTTGGCAAAACAAGTGCGGTAAGATAGGGAAGAATATACTTACATCGGCGGCAACATGATTTAAACGATGAGTCAGGCTATGCTTATTGTAAGACACGTTTGGTGCAATGATGTCAAAACTAATCTGTTATGACCCCATAATAAGGATTTTGATATTCTGTATTGACATTTTTCTCATAAAATAAAGGCATTATTACGGTTAAAACTGTTCGGTTGATTCATGCCTAGTATACTGTTCTTGCGGTTAAAGTGATGGAGTTTTTCAAAGTTATACAAACTCATTTATTCGGTCGTATTTCAATTTTTGCAAGTTCGTTCACTTAATATCGGTATCACGTAATATCGTCTTATCGCTTGCGTCTTCCTGCGCCAACCACGTTTGCGGACGCATTGAACTAAAGCTTGAGAAGGCTTGTATGGGCCTTCGTCGATATTTGTGGCGTTTGGAAGGATTTATTTCAAATAAGAAGCGCTTGGCATGTTTTTACATTCATTTTTCGGTAACACATTTAATACAAAAAAATCGGAACTCCCGGAGTATGTGAACCAAGATAGCGGACACCAGAACGTAGTATGTGTACCAGGTTGGGGTTAGGCCATAATTTTAGGTACAAATACTACGGAAGTTACTTGACTAAAAAAAATGGAATGAAATTATTCCCTAACCTTAATCTGGTACACATACCTACGTTCCGGTGTCTGCCATCTAAGTCCACATACTACGAGAGCGCCTGCAAATAGTACAGCCATTCTAAACAAAACAGGCAAAAAATGGATTTAAAACAATTGTTTAAAAAAAATTCTTTTTGAACAAATCCCTACACACAATACGGTGTCTGATTGAGAACTTCGCAGTTTGCACGTTCCGTGCACAGTAGGCCTATATTTATCGAGGTTTGATAGTAAAATGGAGACAAATAAACAACAAAGTATTATCCAGTTCTTCCAAATAAAACCCAGCGGTGAAAACCAATTAGTGGTGTTGACAG